GGGTGCTCTGACCCGCGGTGTCCCCCGGAGCTCGGGGTGCTCTGACCCGCGGTGTCCCGGGAGCTCGGGGTGCCCTGACCCGCGGTGTCCCCGCAGAACGAGCGGCGCTACGGGCCGGAGGAGTACCCGCGCCGGCTGCGCATCTTCCTCAGCAACAAGCGGCGCATCGAGGAGCACAACGCCGGCAACCACAGCTTCCAGAGTAGGAGCTCCGAGCCCCGCCCGGCCCGTGCTGGCTCCGAGCGCCGCCCTCGCTGAGCAAAGTGTCCCCTTTCTCCCCCTTCTAGTGGGCCTGAACCAGTTCTCGGATCTGACCTTCGCAGAGTTTAAAAAGCTGTACCTGTGGAGCGAGCCCCAGGTAAATGTTGGCAGTGCGGGTGGGCAGGAAGGAAGGGTCCAGGCGGACCCCTGAGCAGGGTTCTGCAGTCACCTGCAGCCGCTGCGGGGCCGGCACCCATCGCTGCGCTGCCCGCACCCCGCTTTCGTAAGGTCACGTCCTGTGCCACCAGCAGCGGGGTAAGAGCGAGGCGAACCCGCTTCCCCACCCTTGTGGCTTTCAGCTGCCTCGGTCCTGCGTGCAGCCCAGCTGTCCCTTCTGCTGGCAGCTCCCCGAGCAGCTGGGGCTGCAGCCCGGGGCGCAGGCTGGCGGTGCCCTCTGGGGCTGGCCGGGCTCCCTGCTGCAGTGCCCGCTGTGTGTGGGCTCGTCACCGATCCCCCACCCCGGCGAGGGTGGCTGTCCTGGGCCACTGGCCTGGTGGCTCACCACAGCCCTCCTGCCCGGCTTGCAGAACTGCTCAGCCACCAAGGGGAACTTCCTGCGCAGCTCTGGCCCGTATCCCGACTCCATCGACTGGAGGAAGAAGGGGAATTTTGTGACACCCGTGAAAAACCAGGTTTGGAGTGTGTGACGTGGCCAGAGGGGGGCTGATGGCTGCGGGCAGGCCGTGCCCGAGGAGCAGTGCTGGGTGCCTGTGCCATGAGGAGCTAACCCGGAGCTGCTCCGTGCCTGCCCTGGCCAGGGGCTGAGCACAAGGCCGAGCCCAGCTGCCAGCAGGCAGTGGAGGCTCTGTGCTGCTGCCGTGCCCTCTGCCCCGGGGTTTTGGGGAGGCTGCTGAGCCCTCCTGGAGCGGTTCCTCTGCTGTTCCTCGTGTAGGGTGCCTGTGGGAGCTGCTGGACCTTTTCCACCACGGGCTGTTTGGAGTCTGCTATTGCCATTGCCACAGGAAAGCTGCTGTCCCTGGTGAGATTTTCCTGGGCTGGGGCAGAGCCCTTTTGGGAGCAGGCTGGAGCCAGAGGGGCTGGAGGCTGCTGGGAGCAGGCACGGGGAAAGAAGCTGTGCCTGGTATTGTCAGCTGGCTGGGGCCCCTCACTGCAGGCAGCACACTGGGACATGTTGATTTTTCAGCTCCTGGAGGATTTATATTCCTGAAGAACTAGAAAGACAGTAGCCACTTACACAACTTAGCAGAATAACTGAGGGTTGGGTGTGTTAAAAACAAACCTGACCTTTGGAAGACATCTCAGCCAGTCCTTCTGTGGGGGGAGAAGGATTCCTGGCAGGCCTGAGGAGGAATGCCTCTGGCAGCCAGGGCATCCCAGGCTGATGGCTCCTTCCTTGTCTGCCTCCTGGGACATGGAGGCAGTCCCAGGTGACTGCCGTGGGTAAACCAGTGCTGCGGTGGTTGTTGCAGCCAGCTGCACAGATAAACCAACTCTCAGTTCCTGCTGTGCAGTTGCTTTTTGTGTCACCAACTCTGAACACAGCTGTGGGACAATCACTGACTCAAAACCCTTCTTGCAGGCAGAGCAGCAGTTGGTTGATTGTGCCCAGGCCTTCAACAACCATGGCTGCAGTGGGTAAGTCAGAGAGGGCCAGAAAGAACAGAAATTAGAGTATCTTGCATCCTGTGATGGACAGCCTTCCTCAAGATCCAGTGTCAGGATCCTGCCACGTAATGGAATGGCTTTTGTCTTCCCTTGGCTGCAACGGGCCAGGGGAAGCAACTTTGGTTGCTTATTTTAATTTCACACTCCCTGGAGCTTAGAATGTTTCACTAAATCTCCAGCATTTCCCAACCTCTGCTGTTCCTCATTTGTTAGTTTTTATCTGAGATGTTTTTCACAGGGCAGCTGGGCTCTGCTGGGCTCTGGGACAGCAAGGGGAGTTGTGGCTGTTGTTCTGCCCATGGCTCACGGGTGTCTCGTGGCACCCTGAAGAACCCACAGAAACCTTTGCTTCCCCTTTGGGAAGTTCCTTCTGGCTTTGCTAGAGAAGGCAGAGAGAATAGAGCTTTCTGACAACTCTGTTTTCTGTGAGATAAGCTGTCCTAGAGGGAGGCTCAGAGCTGAGCAAAGCCACTCTTGGTGCTTTTTATTTTTCTTGTGACTCCTCCTTAGGCGTTTCCACATCAGCACTCCCTGATCATCTCTCTTTTCTTCCCTCCTGAGATGTGCTTCTGGAAGGTGGCCAGGGAAGGGAGCAGCTGCTTGCTGGAGATGTGGGTCTCTCAACGTCCCCCAGCCAGGCTGGGCAGAGGGCACCAAAAACACCTTTCAGCATGTGAGGCTGGTGCTGACCTGTCAGGGCTCCTGGTGTTCTTCTCCAGGGATCTGGAGCTGTGACCATGCCAGACAGCGTGGTGGGGCAGCCAGCAGTCCCAGGCAGGGAGATGCTGCAGGAGCAGACTGGAGTTTGTGCCTCTGGGATGGACACTGCCCTTCCCTGTCTCCCTGGCTGGTGGGAGTGCTGTGCAGAGGGGGGAATGTTGATGGCTTTGCTCTGCAGAAGCTGCAGGGTTACCATCCAAATCCATCATTACCATCCTAATTAATTGTTACCATCCTAACTGAGCCATGTTGTCTCACAGGGGCCTGCCGAGCCAAGCCTTCGAGTACATCCTGTACAACAAAGGGCTCATGGGGGAGGACAGTTACCCGTACCGAGCCAAGGTACTCCAGCACTGCCCCGGCCAGCGTGGTGAGCAGGGCCTGCCATGGGCTCCAACAGCTCCTCTCTGTCCCCACAGAATGGCACCTGCAAGTTCCAGCCCGAGAAGGCCATTGCCTTTGTCAAGGACGTTGTCAACATCACACAGGTGAGGCCCCAGGGGCTGCGCTTCCAAACTTTTTGGAAGGTGGCACCGAGGAGGTGCTGGAGCCAAAACAGAGGCCCTGGGTTGCTGCCTGCTTCCCACAGTGGGTGCATCTCCAGGCTGGGACAGAGTCCTGGTTCTCATCTTACAGCTCAGCACTGGATTCTGTGTGTACATGCAGGAAGGCAGGGTTATCCATGCCCGTGTCCTGGCTGCTGGACCTGGACTGGTCCCAGCACAGCCTGGAGGTGATGGATGGCCCTGGGTCCTCTCTTGCAGTATGACGAGGACGGCATGGTGGAAGCTGTGGGGAAGCACAACCCAGTGAGCTTTGCCTTTCAGGTGACGAGTAACTTCATGCACTACAGGAAAGGAGTGTATTCCAAGTGAGTGTGTGACCCTCGTTGGTGAGCTGAGGGCAAGGGCAGCGTGGAGGGATGGAGTCACGTGCATCCCTGTGCAGCACAGGGAGGAGAGCTGCGTGCTAGGAACCTGTCCGGCCTGGAGAGCAGATCGTGGTGCTGCACTCACATCCCCTCAGGAACCCCCAGTCACGTAGAACTGCAGGGAAAATGCAAGGGAGAGTCTGAGGGGTCTGCCCCAGGCAGCTCTCGGGAAGGAGCAGGTGCTGATTCCAGTGGCTTTGCTGGATCTGTAGCCAGCGATGCCCGAGGTAAGTGCCAGGGCTGGGACATGGTCAGAGGAACACGCCAGGAGCAGTTCTCCTGTGGATTTACAGTCTAAGGTGGGTTTAAAGTCAGAGTGCATGGAATAATTGGTGCTCCAGTGCTTTCAGCCCAGAGCAGCTGTTAACAGATCAAAAAAAAAGAAAATCTGAAGTGGATTATTGATCTTTTCCTGTGCTGCAGTTTGAAAATGTTTAAAAATAGATACTCTTGAGGTGGGAACATGTACCATGAGCTTGTTTCATACCACAGGCAGCAGCTTTCATCAACGGCAGTTTAAAGGTTGAAATTTTAGAGGAAATACATATTTAGACCCAAGAGCTCTGCGTTCCTGTGCAAAACATGAAACAGTGCCCTTGAATTTCAGGGCAGTGCAGAGCAGCTCTGCGAGGCACTAAGAGCTGCTGGTTTCAGTTGGGAAAGTTCCTCTGCACTGTAGCTCGTCTTGGTGGGCCAAGAGCTCAGAATTGCAGGGATTCCCTAACTCCAGATACGGCTGGTGATTTCAGAGTGGAAATCAGAGCAGCGTCTCCTTTCCGTGGTTTCCTTCCTGGACAGTTCAGAGCATCCCGTAGCTCTGTGTGCAGGGTGTGCTTGGGACTGCTTTGACCGATCCCTGGTTAGCTGCAGGCTGCCTTTCACACAGCACACGTGTGTTTCCTTCCCGCAGCCCCCGCTGCGAGCACACCCCTGACAAGGTGAACCACGCCGTGCTGGCCGTGGGCTACGGAGAGGAGAGCGGCACCCCGTACTGGATCGTCAAGAACTCCTGGGGCCAACTGTGGGGCATGCAGGGGTAAGGGAGGGGCTCCTGGGGACAGCCACAGTGTACCTGTTCTGGGGACAGCCACAGTGTGCCTGTTCTGGGGACAGCCACAGTGTGCCTGTTCTGGGGACAGCCACAGTGTGCCTGTTCTGGGGACAGCCACAGTGTGCCTGTTCTGGGGACAGCCACAGTGTGCCTGTTCTGGGGACAGCCACAGTGTGCCTGTTCTGGGGACAGCCACAGTGTGCCTGTTCTGGGGACAGCCACAGTGTGCCTGTTCTGGGGACAGCCACAGTGTGCCTGTTCTGGGGACAGCCACAGTGTGCCTGTTCTGGGGACAGCCACAGTGTGCCTGTTCTGGGGACAGCCACAGTGTGCCTGTTCTGGGGACAGCCACAGTGTGCCTGTTCTGGGGACAGCCACAGTGTGCCTGTTCTGGGGACAGCCACAGTGTGCCTGTTCTGGGGACAGCCACAGTGTGCCTGTTCTGGGGACAGCCACAGTGTGCCTGTTCTGGGGACAGCCACAGTGTGCCTGTTCTGGGGACAGCCACAGTGTGCCTGTTCTGGGGACAGCCACAGTGTGCCTGTTCTGGGGACAGCCACAGTGTGCCTGTTCTGGGGACAGCCACAGTGTGCCTGTTCTGGGGACAGCCACAGTGTGCCTGTTCTGGGGACAGCCACAGTGTGCCTGTTCTGGGGACAGCCACAGTGTGCCTGTTCTGGGGACAGCCACAGTGTGCCTGTTCTGGGGACAGCCACAGTGTGCCTGTTCTGGGGACAGCCATGCTCTGCCTGTTCCTGGGGACAGACACAGTGTGCCTGTTCTGGGGACAGACACAGTCTGCCTGTTCTGGGGACAGACACAGTGTACCTGTTCTGGGGACAGACACAGTCTGCCTGTTCTGGGGACAGCCACGCTCTGCCTGTTCTGGGGACAGCCACACTCTGCCTGTTCTGGGGACAGCCACAGTGTACCTGTTCTGGGGACAGCCACAGTGTACCTGTTCTGGGGACAGCCACACTCTGCCTGTTCTGGGGACAGCCCCATCCCACCCTCACACTCTGCAGCTGCAGTTGGGAAGGCACACAGGGAAAGGTCCCAGGCTGGTTGGTGACACGGCTCACCAAGCCAGGCCTGGGCTCACTGGTCAGGCACGTCCCCGGGTCCCCGGGTCCCCAGGCAGCGTGGGCAGAGCTGCTGCTGCTTCCCCTGGCTCCTCTCTGCTGCTCACAGGGCTGGGGCAGGACTGCCTGTGCCAGGGAGAGTTTGCAGCGTCACAAGAGTTTCCAGCTGCAGGAATTCTTGGGAGGGAGATGCTGATTCTGGCTTGGGGTGTGAGGGGCAGGGAATGGCATTGCCTGGAGAGCTGGGGGCACGGAGAGCTCAGTGGGGAGGGACCTTACAGGCCAGCCCAGCCGTGGCAGGGACACCTTTCCCTGTCCCAGGGTGTCCCAGCCCCCGTGTCCAGCCTGGCCTGGGACGTTCCAGGGATGCAGGGGCAGCCCCAGCTGCTCTGGGCACTGTGCCAGGGCTGCCCACCCTGCCAGGCTGGCTGTGCCAGAGGAGGGAACGCTCACTCACAGCCATTTCTCTCTCTTTCAGGTATTTCCTTATCGAGCGAGGCAAGAACATGTGTGGTCTGGCTGCTTGTGCCTCGTACCCTGTTCCTCAGGTGTAGGAACAGCGGGGGGGACGGGGCTGGGCGGGCCCTGAGCACTGCGGTGGTGGAGGCAGAGAGAGGAGCCACACCTGCCTGCTGCAAGGGGTCACCTGTTCAAGGGGTCACCTGTTCAAGGTGTCACCTGTTCAAGGGGTCACCTGTTCATGGTGTCACCTGTTCATGGTGTCACCTGTTCAAGGGGTCACCTGTTCATGGTGTCACCTGTTCATGGTGTCACCTGTTCAAGGTGTTCCCTTCTGCAAGGTGTCACCTGTTCAAGGGGTCACCTGTTCATGGTGTCACCTGTTCAAGGGGTCACCTGTTCATGGTGTCACCTGTTCAAGGTGTTACCTGTTGAAAGGTGTTACCTGCAGGCAGCTCCTGCAGCAGCACCACCTGAGCCTGCTCTGCAGCCAAACCCTGGCGTGCTGCCCTGCCCCTGCCAGGTTCTGTCCTCCAGGTGTGTCCCAGGTGTGCCCAGGTGTGCCCAGCTGTGTCCAGCTGTGTCCCAGGTGTGTCCAGGTGTGCCCAGGTGTCCCCAGCTGTGCCCAGCTGTGCCTCCACCACCTGTCCTGTGACACCTGCGGGGCAGCAGGTGCCGGTTCAGGGCACACACAGCTCTCCCCCTCCTTCGGGTGGCTTTTTGCAATCACCAGCTGTAAATTTTAGCGATTTTTAAATTTTCTTTGAAGGCGATTTCCCTGTTCTTTAAAGGAAGAATGAGCGAGTGCCGTGATTTGTACACTTTTATCAGTTTTCATGAAGTGTCTGCTAGTTTTTGTATTAAAAACCAGGGTATTTTAATGCACAGAGAAGAAACGGGTGATTTCTCTTTAACCCATCAGCGGAGACGCGAGAACCTCGGTGCCGTTTGTGAGTCGGTGCCGGGGCAGCGAAGGCGCGTGTGTTATTTCTGGACTGTGTCACTGACGATAAAGGCGGCTCGTTACCGGAGCGCTGTGCCGGGAGCTCCGAGCGCGGCTGCGGGGCTGGCCCGGGCCCGGCCCGAGGGCGGCGCCGCCATTTCCGGCGATGCTCCCATTTCCGCCGCCCGCCCCTTACGTCACTTCCGCCGTGCCCCCTGCAGCCAATGGGAGCGCGGGGCCGGTTTTGGCGCGGAATGCGAAGCGCGGGGGGGCGGGCGGTGCGCAGGGCGCCCCCTGGCGGCGGGGCGGCCCCGCCATGGCGGCCGTGCCGCACAACAACCTCCGGGAGCAGCTGCGGCGGCACTCGGCCCGCGGGGCCCTGCGCGCCCCGGCACCGCCGCGGGACCGCCCGCCGTGAGTACCGGCCCCGGGCAGCGGGGAGGGGCGGCCGCGGCGGCCGGCAGCTGACGGGGGCTCGTCTCGTTGCAGGGGCTTCACCTTCAAGAAGGCGCCGCGGGGCCTCGGCGCCCCCTCGGCGCTGAGGGACAAGGACGTGAACACCTCCCTGGCCCTGCCCGCCGCGGCTCCGCCGGACAGAAAAGCGGCGGTACCGGGCTGCGTTCCGCCCCGCGGCCCCCCGGGCCCGGCCCAGCGCCCCGCCGCTCCCGCCGGGCCCGGTGCCGCTGCCGGGCCCGTTATCATCATCGAAGATGAGTGGGACGATATCGACGACTTTGACCTGTCGGGAATCGAGAAGAAGTTCTCTCGGCCTCCCATCGTGTCCCCCAAGGGGCTGCGAGCCCCCCGCAAGGAGCCCCCGCGGCCGAGCCCCCGGCCGGGCCCGCCCGGTTCTCCGGAGGCCGAGCCGGGGCCCTGCTCGCAGCGATCCGGGATCCGCCGGGAAGAGCCGGGCCCCGGCAGCGGCGGCTCGGCCGCGGCGCTGGGCTGCGGGCTGCGGGCCCGCGATCGCACGGGTAACGGGGGCTGGGGTTGGGGCTGGGGTTAGGGGTAGGATTAGGTTTGGCTGCTCAGGAATCACGGAGCTGCTGACGAGCTTGGGTTTGGGTTAGGGTTAGGGTTGGGGTTAGGGGTAGGGTTAGGGTTTAGGGTTAGGATTTGGATTAGGATTAGGGTTGGCTGCTCAGGAATTACAGGGAGCTGCTGCCGAGCAGCCCCGATTTCATTTGGGGGCCTGGGTTCTGTTCAGGAATCCGTTCCCTGGAAGCAGGGCTGCGTTCTGCTGCTGCAGGAGTAGCCACTGCTCCTCTACTGCAGGTACGAGACTTCTCACGTGGCATTCCAGAAATGATCAATAATCAATAGGGATATTACGGAGAGAAAAGCGATTAGAAAATTCATGCGGGAGAGACATAAAGTCATACCTAAATGAAATATTAAACTAGAAAAAGTGATCTCTCCCCATTTATAACACAAACATAACACTGCGAAAGAACTCCAACCCTCAATTATGAACACAAAATTCCTGCCTGCCATTGCTTTGGCAGCTCTGTCCCACAGAACTGCTCTGCTTTAGATTCCTTACCTGCTGTGTTTTGAAACTTTTGGGAAATTAACATGTTTATGCAAGTGAGTAACATCAAAGAGTGTTCTGGGATGCTGCCCTTACACTGAATGCTGAAAAGATTTGTGAACTGTATTTCGGTTCTTAATGTTTTGTTGTCTTTTCTCTGTGAAATTAATTTTAATAAATTAATGATAGTGACCTTTCTTTGTAGGATTTGTCTTTTAAGACACAATACATTTACATTTACCTTCCACTTCCAGTACAGGGATTGTGCCAGCTGATGAGTCTGCACTCTTTTGAAGTTAGGATTTAATATAATAGGAGCCTTTTATAGAAGTAGGTTTTTATATAGATACTCTTTATGGAAAACTATTGCAGAAAAACAGACCTCTTCAGTGTTTCACTTCTGCCAGGGACAGTGACTGTAGCTTTAGCTGTGTTTTGTGGGGATTTGTCTATTTTTAATGAAGGGAGAAAAGGGAACAGTAAGTTTTATTCTTTGAAAGCCAGAAGCTGTGTCAAATGAGTGTTTTGGAATCTGGCTGCTAATTTTCCCCCTGTGTTTGTGGCAGGCTGACTGTGCAGTGTTACCCAGCAATATCAATGCACTTCTCTTGCAGCTGTTGGTGCTGAAGGGGGTCAGGGCCAGGAGCAAGAGGGGCCTGGCAGCAGCCCCCCAGAAGTGGATGAGGCCACCTGGCCGTTGGCAGGTGCTGAGCTCGAGGAGGATGACCTGGACATCATCCCTCCCTCCCCTGAGGAGGATCTGCCTCCCTTCTCCCCCTCTGTGCAAAGTGCCAGGTAATCAGAGTTCACTGCTGGAACTGTCTGCTGCCTGGTTAGAAAAGTACCAAAACCAACCCAAAACCCCTGCTTGTGAGAGAGGTACAGGCTCAGCTTGTGTCTCTTTGCTGCTTGGCAGCTGCACTTAATGCTTTATCAAATACTGATTGTATGGCTGATGTTTTGGGTGGCTTTCACTTCAGAAAAAAAAGCAGAGTTAGTTTTGTAGTGGGATGGGAGAAAATTACTGGGGCAAGGTTCCCCAGGTTGGTACACAGGATGAGTGACTGCTCAGCTCTTGGGTTCCACCTGGGCCTTCAGGAATTTATCTCACCACACACCTTGAATCCTGCTTCTGTTCTGTGGAAATGCCTCAGTTTGCAGATATCTGTATTTTAATGGCCTTTCCTTTTGGTGTCAGCAGTATTTTCAGAGACTCCCCCACTGGTGGAAGATGCACAGCCGGCAGCTCCGAGGCTGGGCAGGAGAAGGTTCCCACAACACATCCTGAAGGTGATCCCAGTGCAGGGGATTCAGGTACACAGAATGCTTTGGAATTTCATACCTCTGATTTTGGGGATAGTTTGCAACTATTAATTATCCTGTGTAATCCAAGAACTTTAACTAACAGATGGAGAATTACATCTGTAGATGGAGAGTTGACATAAATAGTTTGATTATAGACAGATAATGAAAGACAAGGGCAAAAATACGTAGATTGATTGAGTTCCTGCACACAGAAACAGTTTATTTATGCAAATGGACTAAAAATATATTTGAAGTCAATTGTTTAGACTGATTTACTGCAGTGTAGTGTCCTCTGGGAGAGTGCTGTTCTCTTGACACCTGTTGTGACGCAGTGCCCGTGCCAGGTGAGGCCGTGCCCGTGGCGCCGCAGCTGTACCGAGTGATGGAGGCCATCTGTGAGCTGGTGGATGCCATCCCCCTGCAGGAGCTGCAGGCCCTGGGCTGTGCCAGGGCCCTGCTGCAGCACAGGGACCTCAGGTAGGCTGGAGCAGCTCGGTCTGGAGCTGGGAGCTGCCTGCAGGTGTCCCCAGCACACTGGAGAAGCAGGCAGGAGGGGCTTTAAGAAGCTTGAAATACTGGCTGAGGGAGGGAACAGAAGAGCCCAGACTGCTGTGAGTGTTCACAGTCCCTGTGTGCTGCCAGGGGGGAGGATCAGTGCCACAGGCATTCATTCCCCTCTCGCTGACTGCAGGGGTGGTGGTTTCTCCTAACATCCCTGAACTTGTCCTCTTCCAGTGGAATTATTGCTGCCACAGCCTGTTGCTTTGTCTGATGGTGCAGTGCATGGACAAAGTACTGGGATTTGGGATTTTGGTTAGATTTTTCCTGGACTGGGTCTATGTGCTTCTGTAAATGTTCTTGCTACAATGACTTATTTTATTTCTCATTGCTGTAGTCAGACATAGTCTTTAGAAAGTACCTAAAAAAACATGATTTGGTTCAGGCATGCTTGTGACTTCAGGTTTTGACTCTAAGGATTTATTTTTTGTATTCTACCTTGCCTGGATCTGTTCCTTGCTTTTAGGAATTATTTATTTTACGTCTGTAGAGGTGATGTTACAGTTTTGTCATTAGTTCCTTCTGGTGGTATTCTCTTTTCCCTGGATTTGTTTGAAATCATTTTCAAACATGGTGACTCAGAACACCACGGAACCACCATATGTTAATATGTTTAATAGCAGTGAGGCAAAACTGTTCAATGAATGTTGTAGAACCTGGTAAATCATCGCTTGAGACTAAATATATTTTTTTTCCTTCTTCCTTCCCTTGTCATCTCTTTCAGGAGAAAATTGCTGCCTAATTCTGTCAGTTTGAAGCAAAATGGCATAAAG